GACTCCCTGCTGAGCAGGGAGCCCGATGTGGGACTCGATCCCGGGACTCCAGGATCATGACCTGAGCCGAAGGCAGTCGCTTAACCGACTGAGCCACCCAGGCGCCCTCCCCTTCTTTTAATTTTGATAACTCATTTTTTTTCTTCTTTCAGATGAAAGACTTTCGAATGAAACTGCAATCAATATTTCCAGCAATTCCCAAGAACTCTGAATCTTCTCTTGAGTGGGAGGAAACACTGAAATCCAAATGAGATGAGCATGGTGGGAAAAGTCTAAAACTGTCATGGCAAGGGTAGCTTTGGAGATGCCACAGAAGCAAAGGGACTCCCCTGATTTGTCATCAGCAACATGTGCATTGGTGACTGAACCCACAGGATAGATGGCGTTCAGCGTCCACACAGGAGGCCCACAGTCTGTGTGCTTTACTTTAACATTGATGTGGGCGTGTGTGTTTATTAAGGTTTTCCCCAAATGTTCCTTTCAAAATAATTATATGGATAACTTTTTGGTAGAGAAGATCCCAAGGGAAATACTTCTGTTAATAACAGCTAAAACCAAGTTTTGTACCTGAAAAAAGAATGTATAATAACAGACGATGGAATATCTTTATAGACAAACTCCTACCAGCACTAGTACCTCAGTGTGTCTAATTAAATGAGTTTCCACAGCCTTTTTTGTTAGTATGTGATTGTCAGGACATGGAAGGCTCACTCCTATTAGGCCAACTCCACAGTGACAGGTGAATGGGGAAACCCTGTCTGTCAGGCCCCAGCGCGTGTGTCCTTTTGTCCTGAACACAGCCCTGGATTTGCTTCTGCTCGTCAGTTAGCTGATGAGCCCACCTCAAGGCCCTGGAAATTCTCAGACATAGAGAAGAAGAAACCAGTAACAGATTATGCTAACCTGAAAAGGTAGTCATCTAAAATAATAATGATATAGTGGATATAAAACATACTTTTTTGAGAAGTTGGTTCTGTGTCCCTAAACATTGACTAATAGTTTGTAGTATTATCTCAATTGTTAATGTAAAAATAGGCCAGTTATCACCTATCTTAACAAATATTTTTAACCAGAAGGTTACCTAGGTATTGAGTCTCAATATTAAGTAGTTAGTACTGCCGCCTCATGGATTCTTACACATAGGCCCAGCCCTTTTCTGTCCTCCGTGATATCTTAGAGAAAACAGAGGATAATGCCTACATGCAATTATTTTTACTAGAGATGAACATTTTTTAAAGAAAGTACTTTAATATGTCAGTATATCCCAAAAAAATATGGTTGGATATCAGTAGTGCAATTTCTTTATAATTACTTAGGCTCTAATTAGCAATCAGGTTTAATAAAGTACATTTGAAATTGTTCTGTTATAATGAAACCTTTTAGTTCTAAGGAAAATTTTTAAATGAAATGTCAAGTGCATAATGTAACATTTTTCTCTGGACCGCATTACCCTGTTAAAGTTGCTGTGTTGTTAATTAATTAAACAGGTGTAAGCAGCATCTGGGATTCATATGTAACCTGTTAAAAATCCAGGACTAAAAGGAAAGAACTGTGGAATTTGTCAGGGCATTTGGTAGCTAAAACTCTTCACCCAGCTTTCATTTTTAACTAAATCTCTGCTAAGAAAAGATTTCTAGCCTCTGAATGGGAGGAAGGAAGGAAAGGCAAGAGCCAAACTGAACAGGTTGTGTCCATATTACTGGCCTGAGTCTAGGAGCATGGTGGGTATGCTCCATTCCCACAGGCCTGGGATATGGGAGGCCTGAGGAATGAATGTTCGGACACATACTTCTGTGGCATGCCTCATGTTTACAAACCCTTCTCATATATGTCTGTTGTCCTTGAGGAATGGCAAGGTGGCCCCAAAGAATGATCCTGAATCACCTGCAGAGGGAAGGTTGACGGGGACAGACTCCCTAGAATACACCAGGCATAGGCTGCAGTTGCATTTTAAAAGCAGAAATGAAGTAACACAGATGAAAGTTTAAAGGAAAACAAGCAATATGACTGAAGTGGTATTTTTCTACAGTCAAACCTCAGAAGATTTAGTCATTTGTCTATTCCTTTTATACCAGAGGCATATTGTTAAATTGGTTAATGGAAAGGAAAAATGTTTAACAGATAATGTTATTCTTTATGTGAAGTACCATCTGTGTATTGAGTTCTGAATGTTCCTGGATATGGAAGAGAGGAAATGTTATGGAATTTCAAGTTTGCCTTCTTTGCTGTCTTTATCGTGGGTAGAGTATGACAAACATAATCACATTTATCTCCTGGAGCATAAAGAGTTTTAATCACCCTATTAACCAGGATCACATTTTTCACAGACTTAAAAAGGAATAGAACAGACATTATCTCCCCATAAGCAATCCATTTCATGGAGGCTGAGCACTAGAAATTTTTTAAAGGATGGATAACACAAGCCATTTCCATTTCATGCATAAGCCAACATTAAGGCGGCTTTCCATAAGAATGTTGCTTACACTGGTTGAGTGTTAAGCTTTACGTTTAGAATCTCAGCACCAAAAGAGCTATTAGAGAAAGCAATATAGAGAAAATACGATGGGCAGGGAGGGGCGACTTCCTAGGCCTCGGGATTCATTCACGGAAAAAAAAAACCCACATGTATTCCAGGAAGTTATTGCTACCCCGTAAAAACGTATCCATGGGCTGCTCTTCAGAGTCAAGAAAATATGATTTCTAAACAACCCCAGAATGAAAAATAGGGCATGGGAAGGGCCTCACATGATGCCAAGCTGCCCATCTCCACAAGAAACCGGGATTCTAATGATCCGGAGTTGGAGTGAGCCGCTACAGAGCCCAGCAGCACTGAGGTGTGACCACAGGTGACCCTCGTTCTGTCGCACTGACACAGGCCGACGTCGGAAAAACCTTGCTTAGTGCTCAGTCAAAAGGTGGCACCTAATCACCTCCTCTGTCATACATTCTGCTTCGCTTCATGGACAGTATGGGACTCAACTTGCAAATTAATCATGCAACCTAAGGGGAAAATATAAGAAATTAAGAAGAAAAAAAGAAGCCCATGGGGACAAAAGTAATTAAAATCCACTGAATTTAGCTATTTCACTTGGGGCAAAATTTAATCTCTCCTAGGTTTGGTTCATGGAGAATGTTGTATATTGTCACCAATTTTCATGTATCTTCTCTAAAAATAAAGCAAATAGTTAAGTATAAAGTAAAATCAGCCAGGTAGACTATAAAATTATTTCTCAAAATAGTTAAATTTCTCACGAAAGGCAGTAAAATACAGATTTTTATAGTATTCTGTCATATTCAAGTGAGATGCTTTTCCTTTCTGCCAAGAGCCATTGAATAATATGTCAAGTATTGGGGTCTCTATATTGGTGTTATCAGGATTAATTATCAAAGGCTGTGCTTATATAAGAGGAAAGTAAGCATCTCTTGCAAGCAGTGACATTGATCTGTAATAGGGAGGCTGTTAGCAAATTTTGTCTGATGGTAGATAACTCAGTTTGGGAGAAAATTAGACCAAGAAGCACATAGGGCTCAACTTTTCTGCCCAAGTAGTGGAGTGATTCAGGACCTAATTTGTATTTCTCATATAAGCTTGCCTCATTATCATTTGGTGAGGCATCACTTAGTTAAAAAAAAAAAAACAATAGTGAACACAAGAGATCATGTGAACGTTCTCAATGACAGGGTAAAAGGGTAAAAGCTATTTTTTTTTTTTTAAGATTTTATTTTGAAAGAAAAAGTGCACAATCGAGCATGAGCTGGGGAGGCGGGGGTGTGCAGAGAGCCTGATGTAGGGCTCGATCCCAGGACCCTGAGATCATGACCTGAGCCACAGGCAGATGCTTAACCAACTAAGCCACCCAGGCGCCATTCTTAAAGGCTGTTGTTAAAGGACTGTCTTAAGAAGGCAAACCGCAGTACCTTGGCACATTTATACAGCACCTATTATCTGCTCATCTGAAAACATTCCAAAATCCATCTTCATGCGGCCCCTGCCTGATGCCTCGGGCTTAGCGTGGGAGTCCAGGTCTGCAGCCTGACAGATGACCCTCCTCCACACACATCCAGGTGACTGCCTGGAACTCGAGGCTCCCAACCACAGCTTTGGAGCTCCGGCCAGCTTGGGTCCACTGTCTGAAGAGAACACAAGTGGCCACAGTGACTTAGAGATCCTTCAGTTGGGATAGAGGTTACAAAGCTAAGAAAATTATCGTGTCGTAAATCTCATGCAAAGCTAACATAAGACCTCTCGTCAAAAGATACGAATGATTGAGGAAACCCTTTGCTTTTGAAACTTGTTTGTGGGCCAGCCCTGACTCTCTTCTCATAGATTTTTATTACAGATGATCGTAGTCAGGTATCTGTGGGAACAGTGCATCATCAAGCCTACCACATCCTTTTTATGCAACTCCTTAGCGGTCAAGAGAGATGGCCCCTGGACCTTGTTCAGGCTTTTCCAGAGTTGGAGGCAGATGACCCTTTAACCTAGGGCTCTCACTCAACAAATCAACTTGCCTAGCCGTTTTCCCTGTGTCTGGAATTTCCAAATCTCTCGCACATACAAAGATGTTCCCATGGGAATTGTCCACATTGGCCATCTCTGGTACGTCTACTGACTTGAGTTTGGGGGTGGAATCCATATTCTTCACAGGTGTACCTTTGCTTTAATTTCTCAGTATTCCAAATATTACCAAAGGAGTAGGGAATGAAGGGCTAGGTTAAAAACACAGGTCTGGTGAGACCTGAGAAAAGCACCTGCTCCCCAACAGGGAAGTGGGCGTTCATCCTTGCATAGTCTCTCCAGGTTCAGGACTAAGCCCATAATAGGCCCTTAGTAATTACAGGAAGGGAGGGAGGTAAAGGAGGAGGGAGGTGGGGAGGGAAGGGGATGGGAGGAAAGAAGAAAGGAAGGGGGAAGGGGGAGAAAAGGCAGGGAGAGAGGAGGCAGGGGGGAGGGAGGGACGGCCTCACTGGGAAGAGGGTCCCTGCGTCCAAGACCACACATCCAGCTCCTGGTGAAGCTGACAGATGACCCTCCCCTTCTCACTCATGCTGACCACGTTGACCTCAGCCACCAAATCTCAAGAAAAATCAAAAGCACATGAGAATGATGAAAGATTAGTATCTGCAGTGGGTTCTGGGCCCTTGCAGGGGTTTCTAACTCCCAGTCTTATGACCAGATAGTCCAAAAATTAAAAATCAAAAGCAAGATCCTAATGCATTTACCATCTCTGACATACTGAGCAGGAAGAAACAGAGAAGATGAGCCATACGAACAAGTATTACTCAGGATGACCCTGTGTCTGGCCTCAGAGAAGGTCACCGTGCAGAAGCTGGTCAGGCTCCCAGAAGGAATGATGGTGGAGCATTCTCTGAAAACAAAAGATCCAAAAAAAAAAAAAAAAAATCCCTGGTGC